TGGTCTTCCAACTATATTCAATGATCTGAAAACTTTTCTGACTCTGGCCTCCTCCCTCTTTGCCAAATATGCCACAGTCATTCCACCCCAGGGCCTTTGCACTAGTTGCTCTTCTTTCAGTGATATCTCTGCTTTGCCTTTGATAACTATGACCACAGTCAAAGTTTCAACAGCAGAGCAACTCCAAAATGAGGTGCAAACTGTAGGACTGACATGGATGCTTTGTCCTTGATTCCTACCTGGGATAGTTTGACACTTTCATACTTTCACAAAAAGGAGATGGAAGGCCAGAGACAGAATAGGACTTAATGAAAGCCATCTAAATATTGGGGGTAGAACCGTTCTGATGTAGACATAGAGGTTGTGACTTGAGATCATATGAGAGGAATTTAATCTTAAGACACTTGTTTTACTTGCTCTGTTTAACAGTATTTAGAAAGTTTATAGACATTATCCTCTCCCCACTTTAGAATTTTGATTTGCTGAGTCTAAAATGGTACACAGGGACGTACTTTAAGATACAATCCTAGCTTCAAGCCCTACTGAGGTCACAAGTTGCCCCCCACGAGTGGCTCTCTGGCACAGCCATGGCTCCAGAAGCACAAAGACTTAATGCAGAGCCCGGCAGTTTGCGGCAGAAAAGTGAATGGACTATGTGTTAATCCACAGTACCATGCCTGCCCGGGAGGGAAGGGGTATCGTTCCCTTCCGCCTTTTCCCCCCTGGGCAACAAGATGGCGGCCTCCTCGGAGCTTTTTGGAAAGCTAGGTATGAGCCAGTGGTGAAGGGGCAACTGAAACCTCATGGGAAATGGGGGGGGGGGGGCGTTCCCAGCTTGTCCTTCATGCCCTACCAAGGTCATGAGTTGCCCCCCATGAGCAGTTCTCCAGCACAGCCATGGATCCAGAGCCACAGAAACCAATCTTATAATTATCTGGTTCTTGGTAGAAATACCTCCAAGCTTAATAAGTAAAATATCAGAAATTCAAAATCACGCAGCTGCTATTGTGGCCGCACGACATCATATGGTTCTCATAACTAACTGTAGAAAACAAATTATTTCACAATTCTTCCAAATGGAGCTTAGGAGTTCCAGAGGTTCACTCCCAGCAATTCTTAGCTAACTAGGTCAGTGGGTTGATGAGAGGGCATGAGGATGTGTCGGCCTTTGGCTCCTGTAGTGCTGGGGATGACTTGGGCCACCCAATGTTGCTCAGGGGCCTTCATGGACTCAGACATCAATACTCAGGGACCTCAGGGCTGTACCTCGTGATGCTTAGGGAACCAGGTGTGCCAGATATTGAACTGGGTTCAGCTGCATTGTTCCTGAACCACTGTACTCTCTCTCTTTTCCAAAATTATGCTTTTTTTGAGGTCAGAAGAGGCTTAATCATAATTTATGGATTTCCCTCTAGAAATTACAACCAGAACCTGGTTCTGAATATTAAATTGGTCTCATATAATTATATTTAGTAATTTCCTCACAAACACCTACTAGTCTGCTATAAATGTCTCTACAAACAAGGGTTTCCTGAGTACTGTTTAGAGCAGGACTGGTTCAAGGAACAGCATGGAGTGGATCCCCTCTTTCTGCTCCTAAGACAAATTATCCTACTATCTATTGACACTATCTAAAAAGTAGTGTGCCAAGAAAGTGCTTCTCAAACCTTGTGTCCTTGAGCATCATCCAGGATCTTATTCAAGTAGAGACTATTCTTTCTTGGTAGAGCCAGTGGTGCAGTGTTTCTGACCCCCTCTGATAAAATGCCATGGGTCCATCTATAAGTCACACTGAACAAGGTCAAGACTCTTATGCCTGAATTCAGGGCACCAGAACTTGCCTGCTCAGCTATAAAACCCTTGCACTTTCCACTTCATCTCTCTGAGTCTCAATTTCCTCATTATTATGTAACGACAGGAGTGAACATTTATTCCTTCTATTTATAAATGTCAAACAGTGCTAAACATATATTTATGTTTATAAATAAATATGAATGCAAGGTTACTTGACATACCCAAGGGTACACAAGAACTAAGTAGCAGGGCTGGGATTCAGAACTAAGATGTCTGACCTCAAAAGTCAACATTCTGACTTTGCTAGCTCATGAGACACGTGGCCACAGTCACGTTCTATTTGTCAGGTTTATGTTTGAAATATAAACACTCAAGCATATGACCTCACTAATTCCTTTCAGAGCATCAGCTAAGAGTTTTGATTGTTTCCCAAAAGGAGTCACAATAGCTCACCACCATCAAGTAGTCTTCTACTGTAGTCTTCGTGCTGTTATTTTTGGTAATCACAGGACAAGCAGTAATCAAGAAACTATTTAAAGGTGCCTCACCAGAACTGTTAATAGATTCCATGATGGAAATATCAATACCCCTAGCATCTGGTCTTTGAAAATCCACAAGAAATTAGATGAGTACATGGTCCACATGTGGGTCTACTTTTTCACCCAGAATCCCAAAGAGGAAACCATAAAATATTTCCCAACTTTAGGATGCTTAGGGTGTCTAACTCACAGTTTTATTTGCACCCATATTGGTTCAATCTATTTCTGTCCTCTTATCAAAGAATATCAATCTACAGTTGCATAGCTCAGTCCTATGCACTGTTGTACCAGAGGGAAAATCTAACACATCCAAGGAAAAATGTCTGTGTAGAGCTAGAAATATCTGCGCTATGGCTGGTGGTTTCTAAGAGAAATACAACAGCTAAGATACAAGGGTCTGTTATGAATCCAAAAAAATTCAGAAAAAGTTATGAGATAGTTTGAGTTATTCATAAAGCTATGTTTATTCTATTTGAAGGATTGCTTTTTATTCTGACCTTATATTCTTTCTATATTTTTGAAATGATGTCTCCTATGAAATGTTAATAAATGATGGTAAAGCATTCTATGTTGGTTCCCCAAACCTTTTGAAATGTTACTGATTTGTGAATTCTAAAATTCTGAAACATCTGGTATAGATAGTCTTTTACATAAAGAGTCCCAAGCAACATAAATCTCTACAACGTGGAGCCTTTCTCTCCGTCTTATACAGAATAGGAACTTTGAAATGATGTGCTTTGCTTCAGGTGAGTCTCTGGACCATCTCTTACATAACAAAGTCCTTAATCATATCCTAGATAAGGGGAATTGGCCTGAATATCTTCCCTCCCATGACAGCATCTCCAGGAAGGAAGCTTTCCACACCCATGTGGCCCAGGATATGTATCTGTGCTCCTCTCTCTATGGTGGTCCTATAAATTAAACTAAGCTCTCTGAAATATCAAAGGCGGAAAGGCAAGTCTGCTCTTAAGGGCTCAAGGATGCAGATCTACTGTGGGGATAGGGACTACCCAGGGGACCATGTGGTTCCTAGGACCAGAGCAAATAAGGATAAGTCAAATCCAAGGTGTATGCATTAACTGTACTATCACTACTGCCTCGCAAATTTTCTCCTCATTGGAGCAAGGCTTTATTTAGAAACAAAAGACAATTTCTGAAGGTGTTTTCTTAAGCATCTTGCAAGTGCTGCATATTTTTCTCCTTCACAGCTTAGAAGGCCTCCAATTCTTTATCAAGATCTTATGTGCCCATCATCTTTTCCCCTCCTTCCATGCATCACTTACCCTCTCTCTTATGGAGGAATATTCTTCCACATGCCCCCTCCTGATAGGTGCTCATTTCTGAAATGAGTAGATGGTTTCCTTCCTTGGGCCTATAACGCATTTCAGCTGGGGATACTTAAACCATTCTACTCCTCAAGTTCCTAGATGAGCCTTGAAGTAGCCCTCACCTACCCCATTTTAAAAAAGATGAAAATCTGAAATTTTATGAGAAGAAAATCTGACAAAGGTCACTTGAGATTGTCACAGAGCTGAGGAATCTAGATTCCATCTTTCCTTAGCTTCCAGGCCATTCCTCCTTCAAGGCTGCATTTTTCTACTGTACCTACATCGACTATCATATTATATTATATTATATTATATTATATTATATTATATGTGATAGCCTAGCAGTAGGGTGTTTGCCCTTCACACGGCTGACCCTACCGACCCGGGTTCGATTCCTCTGCCCCTCTTGGAGAGGCCGGCAAGCTACGGAGAGTTTCTCCCCCGCACGGAAAAGCCTGGCAAGCTACCCGTGGCGTATTCGATATGCCAAACATAGTAACAACAAGTCTCACAATGGAGACGTTACTGGCCTCACTCGATCAAATCGATGAACAATGGGAGGACAGTGCTATATCCCACAGTGCTATATTATATTATAGGATCTCAGAATATAATGGGTATGATAACAGACCATCATGTCCTTGCCTCAGCACCTGACTTCAACTGCATCAGCCTTAGTGAAGCTTTGTTTTCTGTCTTGCCATAGACTTCTAAATAATTTAGTCAAATTGGGAGAATTTTCAGGAATTCCCCTCTGTTAATTTGGTGGGGACATTCCTGGCTGCAGATATTCTGCCATTGCTGATAGAAAAATTCACTTCAAATTCTGAGGGTATGGCTTCAGCACCACCTCCTGGGTGACAGAAAAGCATACTTTGGCCACAGAGCAATATTAAAGCTCAAGAATAATGTACCCCCAGAAGAGAGAAGGACAGTAGTTATTTTCAAATCTCAGAGAAAAGAGGGATGGAATGGACATCATGTAAATATGGGGGCTTCCAGATGAGCCAAAACTATTGTTTGATACTTTAAAAAAAACCCACTTAACCTGTCTCCCTAATCCATACTTCTTTGCAGAGATAGTCGCCATAATCATCTCAAGTGTGAGATATTCCATCTTCTTTGTCATTGAGGTTGTCAGCATCAAGCGCTCTGATTATTCCACTATAGTGAAATAATCTCTTATTCCACTATAGAGCCATAAAATTGGAGTAATTTGTGTTTCACCTACTCATATAATCTCTGCGGAACTCAGCACACAGTAGGAACTCAACAGGGTTAGGTTGCAGTACACAGAACAAAGGAAATCCAGTGGACACAGTAATGGGGGTCTTCTTACCTCATAGAGTGTTATGACTCCATTGGTCTCATTGGGAGGTTTCCACTGGATGTATATCTTCTCTTCAAATGGGCCCCCTTGGATAGACTCTAGAGGAACAGCTCCTGGAACTATGAAAGGAGAATTATATAAATAAGCTTGACATTCTGTCCATTCTCCTATCTACAACTCCTATTCACTTAAACAAGAACAGGAACAAAAATTATCCAGAGCAGCTGTTTAACTTTGTCCTGACATAAACTAAACAAACAAAATGGACATTATAACCTATAAAAGAATAGGTTCAGCTGTATTCTCATGCAATTTCATTTCTAAAATCAAGGGCCCTGGCTGGATTTGACCCTAGGGCCACCATTTACTAATCTCTTTCCTGAAGGTTGATGGCTTTTCATCTGAAAACTGAGTGAGTTCGTGCTTGTGAAGGGAGTGAATATCAGCAGACCCCCACCTATGAACACAGGTGGGATTCTGGACTGTATTCCTGCCTTAGGATCATATCCAAGTGATGCAGAGTAAGCTTCACTATCATTTTTCTTACACTGGCATGTTTTCTTCCACTATAGGTTGCACCTCTTTGGTTTCCTGACTACTTTCTAAATCTAACAGAAATAATATTGCTTAAAATACAGTCCAATAAGAAGAAATCCTATAAGAAGCCTCCTTCCAACAAAAACAGCCAGGTTGTCTTACTGCTGAGTCTTCATTGTCTGAAATATGGCAGATACTAAGAACCATTTACAGGGCAGGCAAATAGGCAAGTGACTGATCAATGCCATCCTTTTTTTTTTTTCTTTTTGCTTTTTTTGGGTAACACCCGGCAATGCACAGGGGTTACTCCTGGCTCATGCACTCAGGAATTGCTCCTGGCGGTGCTCAGGGGACCATATGGGATGCTGGGAATTGAACCCGGGTCGTCCGCGTGCAAGGCAAATGCCCTACCCGTTGTGCTATTGCTCCAGCCCCATCAATGCCATCATTTTGCCCCAGGAGAATACCCTTTTCTGAGCATTCCTGCCATCATCCTCATTCTGGATTCTAACATTATTGCAACTATTGGGAGATGTAGAACCATAAAATAAACCACCCCCTAAACTTTCAGTTGTAACCCACTAGGGAATCATGAATTCATGTAAATCATCACTTATCTATTTAGTTTTTGGGCATTGTTAAGAGTGGTACTCTTATTAAGTACTTACTCTTTGATCAGAATTTTACATATATTATTTCATTTAAGCCATGAAACAGCTCAGCCCAGCATGTATTATCTCCTTGGTACCGATAAGGGGACAGAGGCTGAGTGAATTAAATAACCTGCTCAAGGTCATATGGCTCTTAAGTTGTAAAGAGGGAACTGAACACCTGTCTGTGAGCTTCAAAGCATATACTCTTAATCACCATGCTCGGCTCTCTAGATATAGCCTTGGCCATATGTTGCAATCAGTTCCCTATTGTTAAATTAAAATATATTTAGTTTTTCTCATTATGGACATGATACACAGGATTTGTTGAATATTAAGGATACACCAAAAAAAGGTTAAGAAAAGAGAAAAGAACAAAATCGCTCATAATTTCTACACCCTGAAATATTTTTGAGTATTTTTATGCTTATGAATATACATATTTTATTTTTAAAAATTAAACTGCAACTGTGCATATTGTGTGGCAACTTTCTTTTATCACCAAACAAATGGCAAAAAATAATCCTAAAATGTTCTTTGAGGCCATGCATTTTAATGGATGCTTGAAGCAGGATATGCCCTTTATAGTCCACCGATACTTTGTTATTGGGCATCTACATCGGTGTGAATTCTTCATGATTGATTTTTAGTAACACTGCAATGAACATTCTTAGAAAATACTGTGTGTATGCAACTCTGCTGATGCTCCTGTGATAAATGCTTGGAAATTAATTTCTTGGGTCAAAATAGCTAAGCTATTTTATTTTTAAGGTTTTAGATACATATAATCGGATTGCTTTCCAGAAACTTGGAACCATTTGTGGCTTCCCAGTGAAAGAATATGCTATTCCCAAACCTTGATAACACCATTTTCAAAAATTAAGTGTATATCTGTGTGTATCTTATTGTATTGTATAGTTTATTTTCCAGTTTAATTGGCCATTTGCATTGATTATTTTATGAACACACTCTCTCCATTCTGTGTTTTTCTTCCTATATAGCTCTTCGTTTTGTTCATTGTTGTTCTAAGGGCCTAAAACAGCAATCTTTTTTAAGAACAGTATTTTTTGCATTGGTTATAAATATTTTTGCTGGTTTTTCATTTGTGTTTAAATCTTTTAGATATGCCAAAGATTCAAAATAGCCCAGACTCTTATGACTTTTCTTTATTTATTCTTTCCACAAATATTTGCTGAATATTTACTATGATGAAGGGACTCTGATGGACAATAGGGATACAGGAGTGACCAATAAACATATCAAATCCCTGATAAAGGCTTTGTTCTGGAAATAGAGACACAGTAAATAAATCATAACATTCACAATCAACTTATTTAAGTTGCTATTAGGGTTTTGAGGTAAAGGCACATGGTATTTGGGAGAATTATAATAAGCAAAAAAATCTAATCTGGAAAGTGAGGATAACAAGTGGAAAATAAATTAGAATTCATAGATTAGTAGATGTTGAGGAGGGGAAAAGTCAGGGAGAGTAGGTGGTAGATTGTTTTGTGAAGACAGTGTAGGGGAAGAATCATCTTTGGGAGGAATGGTGGTACTTGGATCAGGAGGATTATACTATAGAGAGATGTGATCTGTTTAGTTGAATAGGTGAGGTGGGAAGATGTGTGAATGCAGGCTCAATTCTTCAGATTTACATGAGTGGGATGGATGAGAGTGTTACTCATAAAAAGGAGACCTTAGAGGAGGACTCCTGTAGGAAAACTTGGTTCATCATCAGACTTTAATTAAGGTTTGTGCAGACACCCAACAGGAGTGTCTGTTGGATATAGAAGACCAGGAAACTGGGAACATATCTGAAGCAAGAGGTGAGAGAGAGAGAAAGAGAAAGAAAGAGAGAGAGAGAGAGAGAGAGAGAGAGAGAGAGAGAAGAGAGACAGAGAGAGAGAGACAAACACACAGACACACAGAGAGACACAGACAAAGACACAGACAGAGAGACAGAGAGACAGAAGTCATCCTTAGAGAAAACCAGGAAGGTGAGCTACCTAGCAGTTAAGGAGAATGGAGAGACTGGTTAACAGGAACAGTTGTTACTGGCTAGTAAAATAAGAAGCAAACTTAATTTTGTACACTATATCTTCAAGATTATTGTGACTCACACAAGAGTAACTCAGAGAGCACAATGGCATACCAAGCCATCCTATAAAAATTGGAGAGAAGAATGGGAGGTAAGAGGCTGTGGTGACACAAGAAGATGATTTGGCCCATGCAGTATGTGGAAAATAAAGAAGCAATCAAGAGAAAACAAAGAGTCAAAGGAGAGAATATGGCTTGATTACAGGCAACCTAGGAAAAGCCAAAATCAGGAAAAAGGTAGGAGGAGGAACAATAGAAAGAAAATAGTGACACTGGTGAATCCTTGAAAAGGCAGGGACAGGGGAAAGAAATCTCCCGCTCTGTGAGGTAACAGAACAGGAGGAAAATATGCAGGTGCTTTGGAGGGAAGAGTTAAGATGTCCCACTATCTGTTTTCTTAGAAATGGGGTGGGAAGAAAGGGCACCCGCTGCCAAGGTACAATGGGAGAGAAGTTTCACAAGGAATTTAGGATAAATGAGAGGCTTTACTCGCTGAAAAGTGGAATGTGATTGGAACAGAGAGAAGAGGCCGCTGCTCATGACCAAGGGACTCTGGTATGAAGATGGACACTTAGCATCACACTGGAAGAAGGAAACCACTGGGTTGCAGTTTAGAGCAAACTCTCACCCCAGAACAGATGAAAACTTCACTTTATTCTATTTATTTTGTGATTTATTCCAACTATTTTACTCATCACTTTAATCTGGATATCATTTTATGTTCATAGTCATTTTACATGTATATTCATTTTATATGTGTATAACAATGTAGAAATTTAACTACAATTCTTTACAATTTTTCTTGGACCATTAGTTGGTCAGTCAAATCTTTTCCTAATGATTTAAAATGTCATTTTACTATCGTGTTATATTTTTATATACGGGTAAATGTTCTGTGGCTTTTTGTTTTTTTTACTGACTCAAAGCTTTGATCCTGACAGTATTTATCTGTTGTGTTGCTATAACATGTTTTAATATTTATAAGCAAATTCTACTCTTCAATTATTTTTTGCCAAGTTTTCTAGGTTCTCACTGCCCATTTATTCTAGAAGAAATTCTGAATAATTTTATAAAACTTCATCCATGTTCTCTCAAAACTTTTATTTAGCTCCATTATTTAATTCTTAAAAGGAAAATAATATATTTTATAATGAGTGCTACCAGTAATGCGAGACAAATTTTCATTGATATTTCTTTCTATACCACCAAAGGTAAAGGTAAAGGTAAAGGCCCTCCCGTTGATCGTCGATTTGCTCGAGCGGGCCCAGTAACGTCTCTATTGGAGACTTTGTTGTTACTGTGTCTGGCATATCGACCAAATATTTAAATCTCTTATAAATTATATTCCTAGAACTATATGTTACTTATGAAATGTAATGTTTTAAGTGTTACTAATGAAACAAACATAAGGCAAAAGTATATGCCATCAATGTACAATTTAATGAATAATTATGAAATGAACAACACATGCCTACAATTCACTCTAAGTATATCATTGAAAAAATACATGTGCCCCCGCATACTGATTCCTTTCTCAAAAAATTATGTGCATGCATTTTATATTAATAATTTTCTATATTTTTATTTGGAGTTATAAATATATATGCATCTATACCAAGACAAATATAACTTTGTTTTGGCTGATTTTCTTTATATATGCAAGGAATTGAATGTTTCTATCATATTATTTGCATGTCCCTCAACATTGTTTTGCAATTCATCCAAGCTGACACAAGTATTTCATTTATCTTCATTCTATGAACAGAGTTCTATTTACTTCACCATTCTACTATCATTGGGCATTAGATCTATTTTCTGATGAGGCTGTCTTAGAC